AAGTTTTAGGGATAGGAGGTGAGTTCTTTGGTACAATGCGTGCTTAGCATGTGCGTGCAAGGCCCTAGGTTCAAGCCCCAGCCCTACCAAAAACAAAAATATGTATGGTGCCAGTTTTCCAGGGAAAAAGGTTCCCACCTCCAAATTTAAAAGTCACTATGAGATTTCCTTCCAATTACTTGTTCCTGTGCTTCTCATATTCTGAAGAAAATCCAGTAATCTTGTAAACACCTTTTTCTCACTGTAATGTAAGGTCTCAGTCAGCTTTTTTCATGAATGTATTCCAAGGACCTATGAGAGTGCTGAGCATATACTAAGCCATCAGTAAGGACTCAATGAATGAATTACTGATGGATTCTAATGTGGCCCAGTCTTCTTGCTAAATTTAGAAATTTGCAATAGTGACACTCTGAGTCAGTAGGTTTTCTGGGACTTCACTTTTTAGGTCCAGGTTTTCTACATAAAAACTTCTTTTTCCTTTTATTTCTCCTGTGAGTCCTGGCTCCCCAAGACTGAACTGAGGCTGGACTCCTACCTTTTCTTGCTTTCTTTTCTTTTCTTTTTTTAATTGTGCAGGTGTGTTGGTACTGGGGATTGAACCCAGGGCACTCTACCACTAAATTACATGCTCAGCTCTTGTGTTTTTGAGACAGGGTCTTGCTAAATTATCCAGGCTGTCCTTGAATTTGAGATCTTCCTACTTCAGCAAGTTGCTGAGATTACAGGCGTGTATTACCATGCTCTGCCTTTAAAAAATATATATATATTTAATTTAAATTTTTTGTGTGACTGGGGATTGAACCAGGTGTGCTCTACTACTAAGCTACATCCCCAGGCCTTTTAATTTTGAGATTTTGAGACAGGGTCTCTCAGTTGCTGAGGTTCTTGCTAAATGGCTGAGGCTGGTCTGAAACTTCAATCCTGCCTCAGCCTCCATGGTTGCTGGGATTGTATGCACTTGCCACCACATGTGTGGCCGTTTTTTTTTTTTCCAGAAGAAAGAAAACAGGATCTCCATATGTTGTCCAAACTGGCCTCAAGCCGGCAGTTCTTCTGCCTCAGTCTCCCAAGTAGCTAGGATTACAGGCACATGCCAGGGTGCCCAGCTCCTGCTCTCTTACTTAAGAGCAGGTGCACCATATTGAGGAGCAGGAGGGCTTCTAGGCAAAGTCTGCATGGTTTCACTCTCAGGCCGAAGCCCTGCTCCATGATGTTCAGTCCTGTGCCCTGGTTGTTGGTGTCTACTACTCTGTGATTTCTTAGGAGACGGAATCCTACCACCTACGGGGCATTCCCCACCAGTTACCAATGTACCCCAGGAGAAAACATTCCCCCAAATTTCAGAATGCAAGCTGGTAACATTGGCTTTCCTAGCCTGTACTTCTAGGGGGATGATGAGGACCAGTGTATGGTGCTGGGTCCTCCAATAGGAGACATTCAGAGTTTTGTTTTGTGTGGCATTGGGTTTCAAACCCAAGGCCTCTTACATGCTAGATAGACCTCTACCATTAACTCCCAGTCCTCCCCCTCAGTTTTTGAAATCCCCAGGACTTCACTAGGCAGCTGACTGCCCTCCTGACACCATTGTACTGATAATCTGTTTTGCACAGGAATTGCCCTTTCCTTTTCATTTGCTCCAGCTGAGTCGTACCCGCCAACCGCAGGACCAACCCCAGTGCCAACTGAATCCAGAGCTGGATCTTAGTGGTTAACCTTTTATATACCCAGGATTTTTTATTTTTATTTAAATATCTTTATTGTTTAGTTGTAGATGGGAAATACCTTTTTTTATCTTTATGTGGTGCTGAGGCTCGAACCAGTGCCTCACAAGTGCTAGATGAGTGCTCTACCACTGACCCACAGCCACAGCCCGTATATTAAGGAAGACTCTAAGTTGCTTAGGGCCTTAGCAAGTTCCTGAGGCTGGGCTGGAGCTTGGGATTTTCCTGTCTCAGCCTCCCAAGTAGCTGAGATGACAGGCATGTGCAGCCATGCCCAGCTTCCAGCTAAATTGTTTGTTTTTTGTTTATTTATTTCTGGTATCAGGGATTGAATCCAGGTGCGCTCAACCAATGCACCACATTCCCAGCCATATAAAAGAATGCCTATATGTTCTTCAAATAATAGACTTGTCAGTCATAGAGTGAAGTTTCTATTAGAATCAAAAGCAATTTCAAAAATATTACCTGAAATGCATTAAATATTTTAAATGTCTCTGATTTCCTTTCTCTGCATTCCTGTTGATTTAACTCACATAAAATTGTTGTTTGATGCTTGCAATGGAAGAACACTAATCTGTCCAAATGTTTACCCACAGTATCAATGAAATAAATTTCCATTACAGCAGTAAATCACAATTTCACTTATGAAACTGGCAAAGATTCTTAAAAATTAATGGCACTACTCAGTGCGTTGAGGTTTTAGAAAATGACTCTTCTTATAATTGCTGGTGAGAGTGTAAATTTATATAATCTTTCTGGAAATAAAAGCAATATATATCAAAAACAAATTGTAAATTTAAGCAAAAATAATATATCATCCAAAATGGGATTTTTGAAAGTAGAGGGAAGCACTATTAATAATTATGCCAAGAAAAAAGGCAAAAATCAAGCCTGTTTCAGGCAAACTAGGATAATAATTGTTATCTTGTGTATAATCAATGATCATGGCTTAACACTATAATGTTACCACACATTGAAACACCAGAACTCAAATTGTTAAAATATGGTTATATATATTAAAATTCTATATCAATTTGGGAAAAAATTCTGAGAGCACTTATTCTCACCAGCCTGCCAGGCATAGTAAATAGCTTTCCTTTTAGGACTGATAGAATATGTCCCCTGAGTGCCCAGGGTAAAAAAAATTTCTAAAGAGAGTAGTTAAACTGTATCAACTTCGCTGGATTTTGCCAGGGAAAGAAATCTGTTTGTCTGTTTTATTTAAAGGGGGCCTCTCTGTGTTGCCCAGGCTGGCCTTGAATTTGTGATCCTGCTGCCACAGACTGCAGAGTAGCTGGGGTTACAGATACATGCCACCCAACAACACTTGAATTTTTTTTCAGTGCCAAAGATTGAATTCAGGGCCTCATGAGTACTACTAGATAAGGGCTCTGCCACAGAGCTAAATGCTAAATTCCTAAAATTGCTAACCTTTGGAAATAAATAAATATATGTACTGTATGTGTATGTTTGTGTGTGTGTGTGTGTGTGTGTGTCTTTTTTCCTGATACTGTAGATTGAACCCAAGTGTGCTTTCCAACTAAACAGCATTTCTAGCTTTTTTTTTTTTTCTTTTTGAGTCAGCTTCTGTTTTCCAGAAAACCAAACCTAGAAAATCTCAGGTCCATTGCAAATTGATTATCCATCCAATCCCTGCTCCTACAGAATTCATGGTGGCCTGTGGAACTTCCTCTGAAACCCAGGCTTAGCAAGTCAGTGTCCCTTTCAAGGAGAACTTCTGGGCTGGGTGTGGTAGTGCGCACCTGTAATCCCAGCAACTCCGGAGGCTGAGGAATGAGGATTGCAAGTTGGAGGCCAGTCCTAACAACTTTGTGAGGCCTTTAGCAACTTAGGGAGACCCTATCCCAAAATAAAAAATAAAAAGGGCTGGGGATGTGGCTCAACCATTAAGTGCTCCTGGATTCAATCCCCAGTGCCAAAAAGAAAAAAAAAAAAAAAAAAAAAAAGAAGAAGAAGAAGAGCTGCTGGGATGAAAGGCTTGTTACTCTATAGGCAGCAATGACATGCCCAATGACAGCCCCAGTTTAGCTCCTTTCAGGTGATTGCACACATGGTTTACCTGATCCACCTGCCAGCAAAGCCCCTACCCTCAAGGAATTGTGCGCATTTGGCTACTGCGGACAGATCCAATTGCGTCTCTCCTTTAGGCATTAACAAACTGGAATCAGATGTCAGATCCTGTGTAGGCTCACACAAAAGTCAGTCTCTCAGACTGATTCTGTGACACTCTCTATTCACTTAGCTGGTGTGGGATTAACAACATGTTTGCTGATCAAAATGACTATAATATATTGTTGGCTTTTTTTAAAGTTCCACAGAATGAGAAATGTCACCATGCAAAAACATTTGCTTTTTGTATTGAAGATTGAACCCAGCATGTTTTACCACTGAGCAATGCCCCCAACCCTTTTATTCATTGTTTTTTTTGAGATGGCGTCTCACTATGTTGCTCAGGCTTGCACCAGCCTTCAACATGTAAATTGTAATAAGAAAGATAGCAGACACAGTAATACCAGTTCCATGGGAGGCTGAGGCGGGAGGATTACAAGTTGGAGGTCAATTTTGGTAATTTAGTGAGACCCTGTCTCAAAATTTTAAAAAAATTAGAAAGGCTGGGGCCAGTGGCACAGGTCTTAATCTCAAGATTTGGGAGGCTGAGGCAAGAGGAGCCCAAGTTCAAGGCCAGCCTCAAGAACTCAAACCCTTTCTCAAAATAATAAAGGCTAAGGATGTAGCTCAATAATATAGTACCCCTGGGCTCAATCCCCAGTACCAAACAAACAAACAACAACAAACAAAAAACCTGACTCTATGATGTGCATGTGCATTTTCCAACCTGATAGAACTTTGACCATGGAATTCTCAAAATAAGAACTACCAATTATTCAAATATCCACTATGAAACAGAACATGTGAGTGAATAAATAACTAAGGCATAACACACAGGGGCTGGACAGGTTATTTTTTGCAGTGGTAGAGCACAGGTTTCCTGTGTGTAAAGCCCTGGTCCCAGCACCAACAGCAACTACAAGAAAATTCATTTTCAACAAAATTAGAGAAATGAATTTCAAATTGGGAATTCAGTAAATTCAATGATTTTCATTTTTATCAAATACAGATGTTTTGGACAGTTATAATTTACTTATTTACTTTTAATCTCTTTTAGGACTTTTCTTAGGTAAAGGCATCTGGTATTAAGAATATTTTTATCTCTAAAACAATCAGCTTCTGGGAGAGAATATCCAAAACAAAACAATCATGAATGACTATCAGCAAGGGCTGGAAGTTGATGACAACCTCATAAAACCAAAAAGCTCCAGTAAGTAAAAAAAAAAAAATCTGTAATCCCAGTGGCTTGAGAGGCTGAGGAGGGAGGATCATGAGTTCAAAGCCAGCCTCAGCAAAAAGTGAGGCACTAAGCAACTCAGAGAGACCCTGTCTCTAAATAAATATAAATGGGGGGCTGGGATTGTGGCTTAGCGGAAGAGTGCTTGCCTAGCATGTGTGAGGCCCTGGGTTCAATCCTCCGCACCACATAAAAAAATAAACGAAATAAAGATGTTGTGTCCAACTACAACTAAAAAATAATATTTTTAAAAATAAAATAAATATAAAATAGGGCTAAGGATGTGGCTCAGTGGTTAAGTGCTCCTGAGTTCTATCCCTAGTACCAGCTCAAAAATAAAAACCCAGGGGAGATTAACCCCTGAGATAAATCCACACATCTATTTATTTGCTTATTTATTTATTTATGTATTTGTCTTTTAGTACTGGGGAACCCAGCAGTGCTTTACACTTAGCTACATCCTCATTATTATTTTTGTTTTTCCAGACAGGTTCTTACCAAGTTGTTGAGGCTGGCCTCCAACTTGTGGTCCTCCTGCTTCAGCCTCCCAAGTTGATTATTTTTCCAGGTTTTATTACAAACCTTTTATATAAAAATGGCAAAATAGGTGATAAAAGAAAAGAAAAAAGAGAAGATGCCAAATGTGGTGACACATGCCTGTAATTCCATTGTTTCAGGAGGCTGAGACCAGGAGACTGCAAATTTAAGGCTAGTCTGTGCAGCTTACAAAGAACCTGTCTCAAAATTAAAAAAAAAAAAATAAATGGGGCAGGGGCTGGGAATTAGGTCAGTGGTAGAACATCTCTGGGTTCAATTGCTAGTACTGCAAAACATAAATGAGTATAAACATTTTTTAAAAAAAGGACTGGAAGCATATATCAGTGGGAGTGTACAGCACTCACCTAGCATGTGGAAGAGAGTTTGTTCAATACCCGGAATAATAATACTGTTAATAATAATAATAAAGCCAACTTGTAGAAATTCTTTACTCTCATTTTAGATGGCACAGGCATATCCAGTTCACAGAATAATTGGATTGGCCTGAACCAAAATGTAAATCTGCCTTTGGAGGATGTTGTTAATAGCATGAGCTTTGAAGAGACCCTGAGTTCAGTTCTACAATTTTTAGCTCAAGATGCACAATATATGGACTGCCTGCAACATCTCCACAGCACAAAGAAACGTAAAAAAGACTTCCTAAAGCACTCCAGTGCTTCTCCACATTCAGGTATTTTATGGGGGCTCATTAATGTGATCATTTTCCTTAATATACCTAAAAACAAATGCACTGACATTGCATGTGGGTCAAATAATACAGAAGTGTCTGGTGTACGGTGCAAAAGTGTCCCTCAGTCACTTCCATTTCATTTCATTTCACTCCCATTTTATAACCACTGTTAGAGTTATGTGGATGTCATTCAACTCTCCTTCCATACTTATTCAGTCATGTTATTCAAAACTTTTGCATCCATGAGATAATACTAAAACACTTTGTAATTTGCAAAACACCTATTTAATAGAATAAGTATAAAATACTTATGCATTCTTCCATTATGAACATTAGTTAAAAATCCAACAGCAGCCAGGTGTGGTGGTGCATGCCTGTAACCCAGTGGCTCAGGAGGCTGAGGCAGGAGGATCACAAGTTTGAGGCCATATTCAGCAATTTACTCAGCAACTTAGGTAAGACCCTGTCTTACTAAAAAATTAAAAAGACCAGGCATGTAGCTCATAGTAAAATCTCCCTGGTTCAATCCCCAGAAAAGAAAGATCTGGGTGAGGAGGTGTGCCTATTGTTCCAGCTACTTGGAAGGCTGAGGCAGGAGCATAGCAAGGTCCAGGCTAGCCTGGACAACAGTGAAACCCTGTCTCAAAGTGGAAATTTTTAAAAAGGAGGTGTGCTGGGGGGCATAGCTCAGTGGTGGAGTGTTTGTCAAGTACACACAGGGCTCTAGTAATACAAAACACACTAGTGTTACTAGACCCCTAGTAATACAACACACACACACACACACACACACAATCACAAACAAAAAAGGGGAGGGGGGAAGAATAAAGAAAACATAAGTGAATTAATTTCAATTTGTACCTTTTATGATAATATTCCACGATTTTGAAAATGGACTTTCCTCTCTGCTTTCCCCCAATATACAACATTGATACAAAAATCAAATACATTCTCATGTGTCTGTTGGTTTTATTCGCAGATCTTGTCACTCACAAAGAACCAGCTATGCCACAGAGCCAAAGTCCAGAGCATTCGCCCGAGTGTCCTAGTGAAGATGAAGGAAAGGAAGAGCGCAACTGGAGAGAAGAAGCCGAAGAAGAAGAAGAAGAAGAAGAAGAAGAAGAAGAGAAGCTAAAAGACACCGTGAAAAATGCAGAGGAACATGAGGAGCTGTGTCCCAGGAAGAGACGAGTCAGCAAATCCCTCATGGACACTCTTTGGGCAAAGTTTAAATTAAGCGCGTGGCCCACAGTACAAGACAGGCTGTCACTCTCATTTGAATTCAGCATGACAGATAAACAGGTATAACGACCTATTTCTTCACAAAGTCACTTCTGTAGCACTATTATGCATACAACCAGCATCTTGATTCCTGTACTAATCACCCCACCTGCCTCATTTTTTGCAGATACAACAATGGTTTTCTAAAAAGAGGAAGAAGTACATGAAAGAACTGTCTGAGCAAAAGCGCAGCAAAAGACTCAAGAATAAAAAAGCTTCCACACATAAAACTTCTAAGTTGCAGTGAAGGAAGAAGGACTATATTGACTGTCAGTTCTATTTGTGTTTCCATAGTAACTGAGGGTCCTGTCACTCTTTCATGTCGCAGCCAGGAGCACAAAAACAATTTCATTTACTGCTCGTTTTGCATGTAGTTGTATATCACACAGACGCTATAGGCATCGATTTTTATTGTTTTGTTTTGCAGTAAGGGAGATTGTACCTAGGGCTCCATACATTGGTGGGCACTTAAGTGCTGCACCATTGAGCTACACCCCCAAATCTTAGATTTTTATTGATTGCAGTACAGAATTACATCAGCTTAAGTCCCAAAGTTCTGAAGTTCAATTGCTGTGTTGGCGAGCCAGAGTGCCAAATAATCCTCTCACCTTTTTTATTGTTTAGTTTTTTTTTTTTTTTTTTTTTTTGTACCAGTGAATTAACCCAGGGCGCTTAACCACTGAGCAACATCCCCTGCCCCTTATTATTTTTCATTTTGAGACAGGGTCTCCCTAACTTTCTTAGGTCCTTGCTAAATTGTTGAGGCTGGGTTTGAACTTGGGATCTTCCTGTCTCAGCCTCCTGGAGCCACTGGGATTACAGGGGTGCACCATCACACCCAGTTTCCTCTCACTTCTTAAGAACTTGGAGGGTCTGCTGAGCATCTCTCTGCCCTTTTGACTAGAAAGCCACACCATATCTGTCTTGGCAAGCACAGGCTATCCTGGAACCTACACCAAGGGTGTGGAGGTAGATAACATTTTTTGAGACTGTCCCAGGCAGACACCACCCTCAAAGATGGCAAAGTAGTGGCCACCTGGGTGGAGCCCTTATAGTATCAGATATCCAGGAAAATCTCATATTAGCCCTTGAAGAAGCTAAGAAGGAATTCACTGCCATAATTTTTTTTGAATACTTATTTATTTGTTTTTTTTTCTAGTTGTAGTTGTCAATACCTTTATTTTATTTATTTATTTTTATGTGGTGCTGAGGATCGAACCCAGGGCCTTGCACTGATGGGCAAGCGCTGTACTGCTGAGCCCCAGCCCCAGCCCCTCACTGCTATACAGGTTGAGGCAGCGGTTTATTGGAAGGATTTACATAGGCTTTCATGCCACAGCTTCCCTCTAGCAGGCCAAGTAGTCTTCTGAGGCCTTTATGGGACAGTTTCAGAACTGACCTAAGTGACTGTGGATAATTCTGTTAGCTCCATGCTGATTTACTCTATATTTTTTTCTCTCTTTGGGACAGAGCTGTTCTTGGTATGTTTCTTGTTTGAATCGTAGCTATTTATAGCAATATTCAAATTAAATATGAAAACTTCATGATAGTTCCTATCTTTGAAAAGTTTAGCAACATCACAGTGATAACAAGAATTTTTATTCCTTGTATTAGCAGATAAATATTGCTATTTTGAGTGATAATTCCTGGTTTTGTCAAAGAACTCAAGATGAGATTTATGGTCATTGGACTTTGTAACTTAATTTGAGTATCCTATAAATTTTGATACTCTCATTGTATTTTTACTCTTATTGAGTCATTTACTGATGTGTACAACTGTTCCCTTGTAAAATCAATAAACTACTTGTTGCAGTTTTTGTTGTTGTTCTTTGGGTTTGGGAGGGTGAAACTGAGCCCAGGGGCACTAACTACTGAGTCACATCCCCAGCCCCCACTTTTAATATTTGGTTTTTAGTTGTAGTTGGACACAATACCTTTATTTTGTTTATTTATATGTGGTGCTGAGGATCGAACCCAGGGCCTCTCATGTGCTAGGTGTGCACTCAACCACTGAGCCATAAACCCAGCACCTCCAGCCGGTTTTTATATTTTAGTTAGAGACAGGGTCTTGCTGAGTTGCTTAGGGCCTCACTAATTGCTGGGGCTGACTTTGAACTCAATGATCCTCCTGCCTCAGCCTCCCAAGCTGCTGGGGTTATAGGCATGCACCACCAGTCAGCAAGTTTCAATTTTAAACAACAAAACAAAAAACATCTTGGTTCAGCACTGAGTCTCCCCTCTATAATCCCAGCTACTCAGGAGGCTGAGGCAGGAGGATCACAAGTTCAAGGCCAGTCTTGACATTTATTGAGAACTTGACTAAAAAATAAAAAAATTTCCAAAGAGCTGGGAATATAGAGCAGTGGTACAATGCTTATTAGCATGTCAGAGGCCCCAGGTTTGATCCCCAGAGCCACAAAAAAATAGGAAAAAATATGTGCAATAGTTCCCCATGGTTACCAGTTGCTCCTGGCAGCTATCTCAGGGAAATTAATTATGTGCATCCCTCTGATAACTCCCACAAGGACCCACCCCCTCCTCTTAAAGGACAATTATGCATTTGACACAAATTAACAGCACTACCCAGTTTGTTAAGGTTTTGTAAAATGAATAATTGCTGGTGGAGGCATACATTTACATAATGTTTCTGAAAGGAAAAGCAACATATATAAAAACTGAAAATGTAACACATTCTTTGATCAAGTCATAAAAGTTCCACACAAAGACTTGGCTGGAAGAATATTTAGAAAAGTGTTGTTCATAATAGAGAAAAATTAGAAACAATATACAAAACCTAAGTGAGCACATAATATGTCAAGAAAAAGGGGATTTTTGAAAGTGAAAGGAAGCACTATTAATAATTATGATAAAAGAGAAAAACCAAGCCTGTTTAAGACAAACCAGAATAATAATTGTAATCTTGTATATAACAAATGCTCAGTGATTAGCACAATAATGTTACTGCACATTAAAATATAAGAATTCAAACTATTAAAACATAGCTATGCATATTAAGATTCTATATTAATTTGGAAAAATAATCTGAGAGCACTTATTTCTCATCAGCCTGCCATGTACATGTAATAGCCCTACTTTCAGGATTGACAGTATATGTCCCTATAAGTGTACAGGGTGGAAAATTTTTCAGGGAAGAAATCTACTTATTTATTTACTTTAATTTATTTATTTAAACAGGACCTCCCTGTGTTGCCTAGACTGGCCTTACATGTGATTCTCTTGCCACAGACTCCATCCAACCCAGCTTGGATATATTTATTTTTTTTTTCAGTGCTGAGGATTGGATTCAAAATCTTGTGCAAAATAGGTGAGGGGTTAGCCATTGAGCTAAATTCCTAAAATTGCTAACCCCTGGAAATAAATAAATGTGTATATATTATTATGTTTGTATATACATACATATATTTTTCTTTTTTACTGGTACTGGAGATTGAACCCAGGGATGCTTTACAACTAAGTGACACTTACAGATTTTTGTATTTTTTTCTTCTCAATCAGTCAAAAACTCACTACATTGCCAGGCTGGACTCTAATTTGCAATCCTCCTGTTTTAAACTCCTGAGTCACTGGGATTATAGGCGTGTGCCACCACTTAGCTGGATATATATTGTTAAAGCATGGAAATCTGCCTTCTGTTTTCCAGAAGGTGGATTCTTGCTCCCCTGCCCCTCACTTTGCAGGGGAGTAGGGCAAGGAGAGGTGGTGGCCAGATGGGCTGGTGGGAGAGGCAGTGGCATGAGGAGGAGCAGTGAAGCTGCTCAGTCCCCAACCAACACCTGCAGGACCCGAGAGTGGGTCATGAGAGCCCTGGAGCAGGGATGCAAAAGCAGTCCCTGCCCTGCAACCTCTGCTGCCAGTGTAGCTGGCTGCCACTCACCTGCACTCCCCCTGTGGCAGCTGTCAGGGAAAAGCTAGGCTCCAGGCTGAAGCTAAGCAGAGATACTGGCAGGGAATCTGTGAGACAGGGCAGCAGCACCATGGCAGGCAACTATAGAAAGGATTGTTAAAACATAATAGTAAGGAGTTGGAGGTGCAGCTCAGTGGTAGAGTGCAGGAGCATCAGGCCCTGTGTTGTTCAGTCCTCAGCTCTGGAAAACAAAACAAACAAAAAATGAAAACAACAACAAAATGATCATTTTCATCCTGCGGTCAAACCCCAGAACTTAATTGGAAAAAAAAAAAAATCTATGCACATTTTGTGTTAAAAACAATTGTGGGAGGCCATTGCTTAGGACTGTTGAAATAGGCAGGAGTACTTGAATCTGGAGTGAGCACATGTAATGGGCCCAACAGACCAAGTCAATTCAGACTTTAATGAACAACAGCTTTGATTGATTGGAAGGCCCTATAACCATTAATTAGTTCAACTGCAACCAACTGACTGGTTGACTAAGCTGCACCAATTACTTTGTTTTCTCTGGCTTCCCTCTGTTGTTCTCTAAGTGCTATCTGATCAGATGGTTGGCTGGAGTTCTCAGAAGCAGCACTGGTTCTGGTAGCTGTCAGGTTAAAAAAATTTTTACCTTGTTTTTCATTGCTCAGGTAAACCTTACTAAAATTCAGCCATGGAGCATGCCTGTAATCCCAGAGGCTCAGGAAGTTGAGGCAGGCAGATCTCAAGTTCAAAGCCAGCCTCAGAAACTTAGTGAGGCACTAAGTAACTAAAAGGCTAGGAATATGACTTAGGTGTTGAGTGCATCTGGTTTGATCCCTGGTACCAAAAACAAACAAACAAAAATTTTACTAAACTTCATTAGTCTGAAGAATTTTCTTTTAATAGGACTAAGCTGTAGTGGGCTGGGTGTGTAGCTCCAAGGTAGAGCACCTGCTTACCATTAGCTAAGCCCTAGGGACCATCCTCCAGAACTACTGAATAGGCAGTAAACAGATAAGCAAGGATTCATCTAAAAAAAAAAAAAAAGAAAGAAAGACAAAAAGAAAGAGGAAAGGGAGAGGAGTATAAAATGGAATTATTTATGAGACATCATGAAACAGAGTATCACAGCTCCCAAACAGCAGTTTTAATCAGCATCACAAAATATCTCTTTTAACTTTTATAAAAAAGTAACCTGGAGTAACCTGACATTAACCAATCAGTTGTTTTTCTATTGTCTTGTCTCCCTGTCTTTCCCTTACATGGAAAGTAATTTACAAATGACCATTTTTTTTTTGTTTGTGTGTGTGTGTGTGTTCTAATGTGTGTGCCTTTTTTTTCTTTTTCTTTTTTTC